CCCCCAACCCCCCAATATTTTGGCATTCGTTTTATAATTAATTAGAATTTATCTATGTATATGTCACATCAAATTAAAGCCCCTTTTGCCCTCTAAAAACAGTATATAATATGTGTTGGTGCAATAAATGACAGAGATGCAATTGCGTTTGAACACAAACAGCAAAAATTACAAAAATGGCTTGTGTACAGTTTCAGTTTCAGTCCAGTTTTTGAAGCTGCGTTAAATATGTCACTTATTGTGGTTGTTGCTTTTGTTTTCATTATTACACTGGCCTGTGTGAAATTTCAAACAATTTAACTGTTGCCCTGGAGCCACACCCATGGCTAGTTGTCGCCAAGAGGAAAGATGTGTGGGTTTTGTGGAATTGGCTTTGAACATTTATATTGGTTGAAATGATACTTTGCATACAATGTTTTACTAGATTCTATTATATGGTTGTTATTTGACATATTATCTAGAACCATTACCGGGAAACATTTTTCTTTATATGGCAGCTAAATTATCTTTACGGGAAACCCCAGAATATACATTAATCTTCCTTATTGCATTACATAAGGAACAAAATTATCTAAATGTTACGCTGTATAATACAATGCAAGTAATAATGTTAGTTTTTTGGTTTCTAAAACCCTTACTTTATCTGTGGCAAATTATTATTTGTGAATATGTGAGACAAGTTAATTAAGAAAACTAGAATAGACTTGAAACAGTGATATATGGAGAGAACAGATATGTAAACATTTGCATTATGGGTATTATGGGTATTAAAATTACAGGTCTTACGCAAACAGTTGTGTCAAACAGAAAGTCAGTAATGTCTTCAATCAATTTTTTTTTCTGATTTAATCACCCCAGTAAAACTCTACTTGAAAGAAAATCCCACCACTGTTTTACAGACACTATGCCATTTACAGTGAGGCCAAAAAGTATTTTATCCCCTGCTGATTTTGAACGGTTTCCCACTGGCAAAGACATGATCAGTGTATAATTTTAATTGTAGGTGTATTTTAAGTGAGAGACAGAATAATAATAAAAAAATTCCACAAAAACGCATGTCAAAAAAGTTATACATTGATTTGTATGTCAATGAATGAATGAAGTACTTGACCCCTTCGACTTATTACTTGGTGGCAATCACAGAGGTCAGACGTTTCTTGTAGTTGGCCACCAGGTTTGCACACATCTCAGGAGGTATTTTGTCCCAATCATCTTTGCAGATCCTCTCCAAGTCATTAAGGTTTTGAGGCTGACATTTGTCAACTTGAACCTTCAGCCCACTCCACAGATTTTCTATGAGGTTTAGGTCTGGAGACTGACTAAGCCACTCCAAGACCTTAATGTGCTTCTTCTTGAGCAACTCCTTTGTTGCCTTGGCTGTGTGTTTTGGGTCATTGTCATGCTAGAATACCCATCCACGACCCATTTTCAATGCCCTGGCTGAGGGAAGGAGGTTCGACGGAGGTTCGATGTTTGAAAGTGGCGATGGTGTTCTTGGGGTCATAGGCAGCATATCTCCTCCTTCACACAAGGCGAGTTGAGTTGATGCCAAAAAACTCAATTTTGGTCTCATCTGGCCACAACACTTTCACCCAGTTCTCCTCTGAATCATTCAGATGTTCATTGGCAAACTTCAGACGGGCCTGCACATGTGTTTTTTTGAGCAGGGGGACCTGGCAGGCACTGCAGGATTTCAGTCCTTCACAGTGTAGTGTGTTACCAATTGTTTTCTTGATGACTATGGTCCCAGCTGCCTTGAGCTCATTAACAAGATCCTCCTGTGTAGTTCTGGGCTGATTCCTCACTGTTCTCATGATCATTGAAACTCCACGAGGTGAGATCTTGCATGCAGTCTCCAGACCGAGGAAGACTGACATTTATTGTGTTTCCTCCATTTGCGAATAATCGCACCAACTGTTGTCACCTTCTCACCTTAGCTTGACGATAGTCTTGTAGCCCATTCCAGCCTTGTGTAGGTCTAAAATCTTGTCCCTGACATCCTTGGACAGCTCTTTGGTCTTGGCCATGGTGGAGAGTTTGGAATCTGATTGATTGATTGTTTCTGTGGACAGGTATCTTTTATACAGAGTGCTCCTAATCTCAGCTATTTACCTGTATAAAAGACACTTGGGAGCCAGAAATCTTGCTGATTGATAGAGGATCAAATACCTATTTCACTCATTGACATGCAAATCAATTTATAACTTTTTTGACATGAGTTTTTCTTGATTTTTTATTTTTGTTATTCTTTCTCTCACTGTTAAAATACACCTACCATTAACATTATAGACTGATCATTTCTTTGTGAATGGGTAAACATTCAAAACCAGCAGGGGATCAAATACTTTTCCCCCCTCACTGTATAGACTATGAAAATGGGGGGAGCCCTGAATCTATTCCGATCAGCAGCATTTTCTACCCACACGTGAGTTGATTGTTTACCTTGCACTGTGTATTTCCTATATTAATTTTAAAGGAACACCATAGGGTCAGGAACAAAAACATGTATTCCTCACCCTATTGTGTTAAAACCACCATCTAGACCCTTGGCCCCCTTTGCCTCCCTAAATATAGTGAAACTGTACTCGTATTCAAGTCTGTAGCTGCTGGCTCTGCCTCTGAACTGCCTCTGTCTGCTTATATCATCACAAGTGGTGGTCTGAGCCAATCATGATGCTTCCCTTAGGATTGGCTGAGACTGTCAAGGAGGCAGATCAAAGGCAGAGCCAGCACAAGCCAAACACAGCCATGGCCAATCAGCATCTCCTCATAGAGATGAACTGAAGCAATGCATCTCTATGCGGAAAGTTCAGTGTCTGCATGCCGAGGGTGGAGACACTGAATGTCAGTGCTGCACAGTATGCAGCACTGCCCCAGGAAGCACCTTTAGTAACCATTTGAGGAGTGGCATGTGGAGTTATTACTAGGCTGTAATGTAAACACTGCATTTTCTCTGAAAAGGCAGTGTTTACAGCAAAAAGCCTGAAGGGAATTAATCTTCTCACCAGAACAAATACAATGAGCTGTAGTTGGTCCGGTGACTATAGTGTTTCTTTAATTTGTATTAAGCAGGTGGATTGAGTTTGGTGCAATACTTAAAAGGTTGCTCCAAGCACCATAACAAGCACACTGTGGTGGATATAGTGAAAGGAGACCCCTGATACTATCTTATCCGAATCAAACCATTTTAAAAGCTTTGTCATTTAGCTAGGTCATTCAGTTTGTCCCAATTTCACAGATAACCTTGGAGCAGTAGTTCCTAAACCACTTCTGCAATATCAGTTTGTCCAGTGTTGGATTTAATTCATTGGCTGAAGAGAGTCTGCTGACATCAGCAAATTAATTCCAAAGACAGACAAAATTGATATTGCTAATGCTTAATTAGAAAGTCCAGCTTTAGCAATATCCATGATGAGGCACTGAACCATAAACACCAAGGGACCCGGGTAAGTGTCAAACAATTTGAAAACAGTGTGAGCCTTAACAGTGGGGTGGAATCAGGAGGACTCCTGGTACCATAACCACTGTTGCATTTTTTAAAGCTAACTTCAAAATGCTGAGCAGTGAATCTTCCAGGTTTCATAAAGTTATAACATTAAAGTATAAAGGCCCCCCGTCCAGATTAAAAACAAATTGTTTGAGACCATTTGGTGCCAAAATAAAAAGATAAAAAAGGACTGCACCATAATACAATATATTAAAAAATAAATAGATATTTGGAACAGTCAAGAAATAAGTCAATGTGATAGTCCTCACAAATAATAGTCTCTTGATAGTAGACATTTTAGTCTTTAGAACAGCAAGGACTTTTTTTGGGGGGTAGGGTAGTTGTCTTTATTTTCTTGTTGATGTATATAGAAAGACAAAAGCAAAAGTGCGGAATTAGTGTAAATTGTCAAATCTAGTTATGTAATAAAAAAAGACACTCACATTTTATAGAGCCTAAGAGGTAATTGGCACAGCACACAAGTGTAGTGACCAAAATCCTTTAATAGTTAAAATACAAAGTAGTAACATAGTACTTTGTATTTTAACTATTAAAGGATTTTGGATTTTAAATATGCAAAGTGCACCATTCTTACAAAATTTATTTATTATTTATTTATTTATTTATTTATCTATTTATAACATATTTTACCAGGATGGATACATTGAGAACCTTGAGATTTCTCTTGTTTTCAAGTATGTCATGGGTCCACAAAACATTGCATTGTTACAATAGGATATAATAATACAATATACAAATAAATATACAAACTATATATATATATATATACATATATATATATATATATACGTATATATATATATACACATACACACATATATAAATTTAATACATAACAGGTAATAAATATAGTCAATCATGACAGGTGCATTCTGTGCTGAGGTATATCGTTATAGATATCTTAAAAGATTTTAGATTGAATGAAGATTTGACTGTGTCCCTGAAGTTATTCCATAATTGCAGTGCTCTGTAGGAAAAGGAGGATCGAGACACTTTATTTTTGTATTGAGGTATGCTAAATATCGTGCTAGTACTGGATCGGAGGTTATAGGAGGTGGGAACAGCCGGGGAGAGCATTCTACTCAGGTAGGGTGGGAGCTTCCCAGAAATGCTCTTATGCACAAGGCTGGAAAGATGAAGAGTGCGTTGGGATTCCAGCAACAGCCAGTTTAGCTCTTTTAACATGTCACAGTGGTGGGTAGAGTAATTACATTCTAGTACAAAGCGGCAGAACGAATTATATAATGTAACAAGTTTATTAAGGTGGGTTTGCTGTGCGGGTGCATACACTACATCCCCATAATCAATGACCAGCATTAGCAATTGTTGCACTATCTGTTTCCTTAATGTAGGGCTTAGGCAGGATTTGTCTCTGTACAGGACACCTAATTTTGGGTAAAGTTTTGAAGAGATTTTTTCAATGTGAAGTCCAAAGGATAGATTGGGGTCTAGCAACATACCTAGATATTTAAAAGAGCAGACTGCTGTCAGTGTGCTGTTTGCATTTGTTCTGATACACAGTTGTTGATTTTGTAGTTTACGTAATTTAGGTACAGTTCCAAAGAACATTGTAATGGTTTTGTCGGTGTTTAGGAAGAGTTTGTTATCTGCTATCCACTTTTCTACCTCTGTGAATTGTTTTTGGAGCACAGCCTCAAGCTGCGGTAGCTTGGGTTTACTAGCGTAGATTACAGTGTCGTCTGCATACATGTGTACCTTTGAGGATTTGCAATCATTAGGCAGATCCTTTATAAATAGTGTGAATAGCAGGGAGCCGAGTATGGAGCCTTGGGGAACACCACACGTGACTGGAAGAGGGAGGGAATCGCTATCAGAAATGGCCACATATTGCAATCGGTCTGAAACATACGATCGAAACCAGGTTAGCGGACGATCACCAATGCCTGAGTTTTTGAGATTTTGCAAAAGAATGCCATTGTCTACTGTGTTAAAGGCCTTGGCAAAATCAAGGAAAATAGCTCCAGCTGCCAATTTGGATGTCATTGCAAACTTGACAGATAATTTGATCGTTGATAATATTCACATAGTTGCATCTGGACGCATTTTTGCAAGATTTTTTGTTTTCTGTTTATGATTTTCCAGAAGTTTCTTGGGTTTCATAGGTTGTTGTTCAAATTTTTACAAAAATATTGGGCCTTTGCCATTTTTGTGTGGTTTGTGCATGCATTTCACCATTGTCTGTAAGTCCAGTGATCGTTCATGGATCCAGTAAGCTTGAACTTTGACCACAGTGAATCTCTAAACTGGTACATATGAATGAGGTCAGCTGTAACCCAGGGTAGGTGTCCATTTTGCAGAGGGGCATGCAAATTCCAAACACGCAAGAGCTCGGACTGAAAAAATGCAACTGCAGAGTCTAGATCTGGTATTAGACCTAATCTGTGCCATGATATGTTCTTGAGATCACTTAAAAAGGTTTCAAGATTAAACTTTTTAAATTAAATATCTCTGCAAATGTGTCAATATGACTTTCACTTTCATGGTCACTCCAAGTGCACCCTGTGGCAAGTTAGGATCCAGAAAAATCCCCATCAGTGTACCAAGGATAGAAGAAGTGTTTAGGTTTTAGAGGCCACTTTTGAATGAGTTTGAGTAGCTTGCTATGTCTATCTATGTATCCACAAGGAAATACTACAGAAAAAAAAAATTGTTACACCTTTTAGTTTACAAAAGTTTACAATGTGGTGTGGCTGCCTATGACTTATACACGCATATTTCACACGGCTGCAATTTGACACAATGACATGCATACATGTGATGCACTTGTCCACATGTTGGACGCAACCTTGGATTCTGTCAAGTGTTTTTTCAAACTACTAAACAGGTGCTCCAAAATAGGTGTCCAGAAAAGTTCTATAATGGTAAGAGAATTGCTTGGAGCTGGTTGGCAATGATGCAAGTAAATGATGCAGTTTGCAGCACATGTTTTTCCCATGTAGACATTTCAAATATAGAACCCAAAGATATTGGGGTACTCTCTACACAGTCTTGGACTTAAACACAATATGGCCACATAGCATGACTACACAAACACACTCTGGGAGGTATGTGGGCACGAACGTTCCACGTCTCATTGCCAAGCCTTAACTCTCCACAACTGCAAAGTCATATTTTACAATATTACAATAAATGTGTTATCACAAACTGCTCTTAATTGTATCTTTATCTCCATTTTTACTCAGATTGAAAGCTCTGAATGAGGGAAAGCTTATCTTAAAATTTCAATGTTTATATAACCTCCTTCTTAAAGTTTCCATTAATGCTGTACTTTTTGTGCCACCCAGCTGTAATTTAGCCTGTAAAGTGCTAAGTTCACCTATTATCATTATATAATACTCAAACAAGGAAGGAAACTGAATATTTTGTTTTTTTGTATTAGATATGATTAAAGTTCCTGGATACATTTTTAAGGTGTCTCTTGTCTGTCAGATAACAATGATATAGAATTCTGCAGACCTTTGTCTTTGATTACAAGATTGACCCATAATATGCTCATATTGTCCATCAATGTTTGTAAAATAGTGGTGTGTAATGAACGATAATGGTAATACTTTTGGGGTTTACTAAATTTCAAAGTTGCCAAGATTCAGAAAACTAATTTGGGGCAGTTCAGGGGAATCATTATATTAAATATTTAAATGTACCATCCTTTCAAATCTGCAAAGCACCCTTACCTAGCCCCAAACCAAACACTGTATCTCCACATCCCTGAATTAATGGCACATATTCAACATTCGACAACCACCGACTGAGGCAAACTTTTCTAGGCCATAGATCTAGGCTCTCACCGTGTCCCTAAATGAAAGAGGGGTGGGCTTATTACCACCACCATTGCTCTGGATACACCGAGATAATAGGGACATACATGCCTCATGAAATTTTGTGCATGCTAGATATAACACACTATTTCCATTATTTTCCATCATTATAATGCCCAGTACTATCTATTGAATGTACTTTATCGTATCTTCTCTATTGTTTGTATGTTACAGAAGAGAAAAAAAAACAACAAAAGTAAGATGACAAATGAAACCAATACTATTTCGCATCTATATGAGAGAGTGGAATTTTTGGCATTTGTACTCTGAATGTGTGGCAGCTTTGACTCCCCTAACCAGAGTCTCTACTTTCTGGTGGTGTGGTTAATATGCAGAGAAGGGGGCAGGGAGGCAGCGCCTGTGGTGCTGTTCTCAAATCCAAATGTAAAATAAGCACAGAGAACATAATATAGTGTAGTATGTTATTAGTTCTGATTATATCTGAAAGAAACAAATTGCAATTACATTTTTCTGGAGCTTATGTTCAACATAAGCTCCAGATTTATGCGGGTGGACGGAATAATCCCCGTCTGTGGATATGCTGGTGGGTCCTTGTGCTTGTTCACAGGTTTTGTTACCCGTGCTTCTAGTGATTATACCGCAGTCTGGCAGTGGGGTGTCCTCAGTATACAGGAGAAAAGATAAAAGCAGAATATAGTGCTCTCTGTATGTTAAGATTGGGATAAAAAAACAACAAAAAAAACAGATATACTCACAAACTGAGAGCAAATTAAGTTATATCTCAACCCCAATGGGTTTAAGTGGTATAATCCCCACCAAGGATATCGCTGTGTGAGTCCTCTGGATAAAAAAAAGCTACAAAGATAGGTCTGGGATCTCTAAGTAGTATCAAATAAATAATGCTTTTTATTTGGAGATAAAAAAAATAAAACCAAGTATAGGCTTTCTCAAAGTGTTACAGTTTATGAGACCTATCTTGTTTAAGTAGCTTTAAAACAGGTGGTGTAATCAGTCATGTGACTAAGAATTAATTAATTAAAACATGAATAAAACTTAATTTGCATCAGAGAACAGCAAACATATAATAAAACAGCACTTCAAAGTGTTAAAACAACTTCAAAATAAAATATGTTACAAAAGAAAATAAATATTATAATTTTGTGTGAGACAGCTTTAACGGGGGGGGACAAAGATGGTCACCGCAATCTCCATAATAGGAGTGTAAAGATGGCCGCCGCTATACTTTGTGGGTGGAGTGGCTAATAGAGAGAAATAGAAGGTGGTACTAGAAGAGGGGAGGTGGGGAGGTAGATGGGGTGCTTATTCCCTAAAAACGAGCATTAAAAATATGAAAACGGCACTTTATATTGGTGTGCCAATGTGGCGTCCACGGCCCGCACCACGTGATTGGCGCGGGTTGGGACTTCATAGGGTGATAGGACTTGGAAGGGTATGGCAAGGAGGGAAGGAAGGTAATGGATAGAGGGGAGGAGTTAGGGGAGTGATATCCTCAGCTTGCTCTTTGGAGCAGCAGGGTAACTCCTCCTCATGGCAAGGGTGTATGGGAAATATAGTACAAAACAAGCTGGAGTAAAACTAATAAATGATGATAAAAACAAAAGATTATACATAAAACATATATGGTAACAAACATATTGAACCATCCTGAACATATAAAAACATAAGTAAATGTAATAAATAAATAATAGTCATACTTTGATGGCAGAAACTTGAAACAAATTGATAAATGTAAAAACTAATACCTAATAATACACATGTTGGTTAGAATACAGGCTGATATCAGGTATCTAGAATGGAACATGGAATAGTATAAAAAATAACATAAAAAATAAAAATGAAAACATAGATATACAGAAATTATAAAAAATTCAAGAGGTCAAAGTCAGCATTTAACCCTCTAGGTGCCAATGTATCCAGTTTGAAAACCCAATTAATTTCTATTTTGCCCAGTAATTTGGGGAGGTTGACTTTTTCTATGGCATAAAATCTTAGGCAACTGGGGTCTTTATTGTGGGTTAGAAAATGTTTGGACACAGGGTGGTTTAAAAAGCCTTTTTTAATATTTCTGCAGTGTTCTGCGATGAGTATTTTTAGATTCCTGGTGGTCATTCCAACATACTGTAGTTTAAATGGACATTCTAATATATAAATCACGTTTTGTGAATTGCAGGTAATAAAATATTTTATGTTGTATTCCTTTGATGAGTGTTTGGATTTAAAAGCGGTGGTTATGGTGTTCTCTTTTTTGGTGCTCTTACATGCCAGGCATTTTTTACACTTATAAAACCCTTTTTTGCTGATTAAAGAAGGTATGTTTCCGAAGGGTTTTCTTGTGTGTAATTTTTTGTTAGACATCTTTTTTTAGTTGGATATTTCTGGAAGGATATTTTTTTTTTTTTAAATTTGACAATTTTTATTTATTTTGTCAGTAAGCAACGTATTCAGGGTACAGAAAGGAATGGGATAATAATTAATAAGTGTAGATTTGTACAGTTGCTCCTTATACCGGGGGAGGGTACATAACAGAGGAAGGGAGGGGGGGGGGCATCACAGGTTGATACAGACAAGCTTTTTTTTTTTTTTTTACAGTAACAGTAAATCCACATTATTTTCAGTACGGAACGACAATGGCGATATGTCCCCACTGTAGCGTGTCACTCTATATCTAACAACATATCAACATCAGCATCAGCGTCCCACGGGTGGCTGTGGGAGTGTGCGTAAGCATACGCAACTTGGAGATGTTGAGGACTTGACAGCTCATTTGCTAGGTACAGCCCCTGGTGCTTTACCCGGTACCTTACCAGATCTCCATGTTTGCCAAAGCTCCCACGTTTTCCTATAGAGCGTAGAGGGGGGGAAGAGGGACGTGTAGGAGGTTTCGTAAATCCACTGCTTTTGC